GAGAGCGACCATCGGCTATTATGGCGGCCCACACTATCACCACACCATGGCCGGCGCTTGAGTTCTGGTGGCCAAACGAAGGTGCACATTTTCAGCTGACCTCTTTGGCAAGTAAACACGATCATTTTCTTTGTTTACAAACTGTTGGACAACGAATGTTTTCTCATCGGAGAAAACAAAATTCGGCAGTTCACCACTTTCGGACAAGCGAAGCAACTCTTTAGCTCTTTTGAGTCTATTTTCCTTCAATTGTAGTGTAAGTTCTTGCACTTTTTGGAATTTCAATGCCTTTACCCGAGCTCATTTTTCAATATTTGCCAAATGGAATATTGCTATTTGTTCAGCTTACGAGACATCGCTTCTTTACTTTTCGAACCATTTTTGCTGATGTTGCTGTTTTCTTCTGTCCACTTCCTTGACGTCGGGCTACGCTACCAGTATTCACATTTAAATGCTGGAGAGCTCTAACGATATCCACTTGTGGTTTTCCAGCCAAATATAAAGAATTCACACTATCACGCTTGAATTCCATCACGAATAACTTTTTTTCTGAAAAATTCTCACCAAAATGCTTTTGTACGCTTGTAAACAATATAATAAGCTGTCACTGGAATAATTTTAACAGCTGTCGGACGAGTGGCTTAGAAATGACAGTAGTCTGACTTTGGTTGCAGTTTTTGCATCTCACCCTGTATTAGAGACCTTTTTTTGGTCTTTTGCCAAAAAGAGATAATATCTTTGAAAGTCGATAAAAAAATGCTAATAAAAATGTGAATATTAATGCTTTGGAAAATTTGAGTTAATAATTGACCAAAAACCAGATTTTGCAGCCGCTCTACAGTTCTCAACTAAGGACCAATAGATATGGCAGTTTATATAAGACTAAAGTTTACGACAGAGCTGAAGTCTAGTATTTTGGATGATGATCGGATAATATTTAGTCGGTGAAATGTGTGAAGAAATCCAAAATGAATGAAAGGCGCATCTCTGCTCTTAATATTGATGCCGATTTTGTTGATGATTATAGTCAAATATGAAGGACACAGAATATCATATAGAGGAATATATATTTTCAAATATTGTTTTGAATACCCATTAACACGACATAGAGCCTAAATATAAGGCTTCAGTCATAAGCCAAGATAAAACTTTTGCCGGACTATGTGACATTGGATATTCTGATGATTTTGTGCAAATTTTTCAGTGGAATCGCTGAAACCACTCCTGTGGTAGAAGGTTAGCTGAATAGGTTAATACGTTCGTTTATTCCTCAAACAACGATATTTTAACCACATTTCAGAAAAATTGTATCAAATTTGGTATTTGAATCACACAATAGATAAAAGCTACTGTTTCTCGTCTTGGTCCATCCCCCGTATAACGGCCTACTGTATGGTATGACATAAATCATACATCAAAATTTTTGGAAAATATTGAAATGAGCCTGAGGTACCAGATACCAATTTTATGAAAAATCAACAATTCCATATTCATCTCAGGATTCTGGTTGAGAGAAATATTTCGATGTAGCAAGTTGCAAAGAATCGCCGGCTTGTTTCGCAAGTTATGACAGATTGGAAATTGTGACCCTTTGTGGGGGAGTTATCAGAAGGAGTTGATGATATATCCCATCTTCACAGCAGATCTTGTGTTAGTAGAAATAATGGGATTTGTGAAATACGAAGATCACCGAATGCTTATTTCGGATTTTATGCTCGTTTTGGTTATTCGAAACTTTGACCCCCTGTGGGGGAAGTACCACAATTGTCCGATCTTGTGTTGATATAAATATTAAGATCAGCCAAGTCTAAATGAAATCGGATGTTAATTTCGTGTTTAATGAGCTTCATGAATATTAAAAATTTTGACCCTTCGTAAGGAGGTAAGCAGATCTTGTTTTAGTAGAAATAATGGGATGTGTGAAATATGAAAAGAACCGGATGCTTATTTCGGATATTATAATCGTTTTGGTTATTTAAAACTTTGACCCTTTTTTGTGGGAGGTGCAATAAGGAATGGTCCCATCCTTATAACCGATCTTGTCTTGTATTGTAAAATCGGCTGTGAATTTCGCGTTTTATGAGCTTTATGGATATTCAAAATTTTGTCCTTTTGAGGGGGAGGTACCAGAAGAAGTGGACCGATATTTCCCATCTTCACAGCAGAAATAATGTTAGTAGAAATAATGGGATGTGAGAAATATAAAGTGAAGCGGGTACTTATTTCAGATTTTGTGCTCGTTTTGGTTTTTCAAAACTTTGACTCTTTGTGGGGGTGATACCACAAGGAATGGTCCGATATCTACCATCTTTATAGATGTTGTGTTGATGGAAATATTGAGATGTACCAAATCTGAATAAAATTTTCAAATTAAAATATTCAAAATTTTGAACCTTCGCAGGAGAGGTGCCAGAAGGAGTAGACAGATATAACCCATCTTCACATCAGATCTTGTGTTAGTAGAAATAATGGAATGTGTGAAGTACGAAGAGAACCAGATTCTTATTTCGGATTTTATAATCGTTTTGGTTTTTCAAAACTTTGAGTCTTTGTGAGGGAGGTACCAGAAGGAAGGGATCGATATATTCCATCTTCACACCAGACCTTGGGTTAATAAAAATATTGTGATGTGTGTAATTTAAAGAGGATCGCATTTTATGAGAGTTATAATTTTTCAAAATGTTGACCCTTTGTGGGGGAGGTACTTGATGGAGTAGACAGATATTGTCCATTTTTGCACATAACCAAACACCGTTTAGGATTTGCAAAGTTGGAGCAAAATCGGATTATCCATTCTCTTTCTTCGCAGGAAAATACTTGTTTGAAAATTTTGACCATTTGTGGTAGTGGTACCAGAAGAAGTGGACCGGTAATGTCCATTTTCGATCTTGATCTAAGTTTGACAAAAAATATCACAAGGTACCAAGTTAGGACCAAATCGTATACTTCTATCGAGAGTTATGGTGCGCACCAGCCAGCCAGACGGTCGGGCGGACACCCGTAGATCGACCCCAAATGTCCTGAAACGGATTTGGTAAAAAAGGGACTTCGGGTTTATAACCGTTATTTCGATGAGGCACGTTTTGGCCGTATAAAATAATATATACCCTCTCTAGTCATATGAGGCTGAGGTATAAAAACATTAAGGTCGATCATGCCGAACTTTATATACCCAGCACCATTAGATAAAGAAAATCTTTATTCCAATTTCCCGTATTCCATTTTAAACTGCGGATACTAGTAAGAATGGTTGGAGAATATGGTATTTTCAAGAAAAAAAAAGAACAATAAAGTGGGTGGTGTCCTCCCTATATTCGGTATTGTGATTTTTTTTAGCGATATTATTTACCGGAATTGTTTCAAATTTCGCATTTTAAGTTTTTAATGGGTACTACAGGCTTTGACAAAAATTTGTCTATGCAGGTCCACGTTCTCGTATAACCTCCCTATAAAGGTACTTCCCTATATTGATGATTCTAACTACATTATTCATCGGAATTATTTCGTATTTGAAGTTAGTAAAGTGTACTGTGACAGAAAATTGCCTATACTAGTCCAGGTCTTCGTATAGCCTCCATATAACGGTATCTCCCCAAATTTGGTATTTTGATGTTATTACGACGTTATTCACCGGAATTGTATCAAATTTCGTATTTGGATATTGTAATGGCCTATGACAGAACCTGCCTGTACAGGTCCATGTCTTCGTACAGACCCCTGTATTTAGTATTTTTATGATTTTCAACAATATTTTTCATCGACTTTTTTTTAATTTCCAAATTCCCTCCAAATTGTAGAAGCCTGGATGCCTTCTTCGTCCCGTCTGAACATATCGCTTTTTTACTTTTTATACCCTCCACCATAGTATGGAGGGTATATTACGTTTGTCATTCCGTTTGTAACACCTCGAAAAATGTATATTTCGACCCCATAAAATATATATATTCTTGATCAGCATAACATTCTATGTCGATTTATCAATGTCCGTCCGTCTGTCCGATTGTGGAAATCGGTCTAGCTTCCGAACGAAATTAAGTAGGTTGATAGAATTTTACTCAAATGTGTATTATGTCTGCAGGACTTTTGGTATTAAAAATGGGCCATGTAGGTCCACGTCTTCGTATAGCCCCCATATAACGGTACCCACCGATATTCGGTATTTTGATGATTTTAGCGACATTATTTACCGAAATTGTTTCAATTTTGGTATTTGAAGCTCGTACTACTACATCCTAAGACCAAAAATGAGCCATATAGGTTAACGTCTTCGTATAGCCCCTATATAACGGTACCTCCCGATATTGAGTATTTTGATGATTTTAGAGACGTTATTTACCGGAACTATTTCAAATTTAGTGTTTGAAGTTGGTAATGAATACTACAGCCTATGACAGAAAATTGTCTGTACAGGTCCACGTTTCATAATTTTTTAGCTGCATTATAAACATATTTTTTTTTTCAAGTTTCGCATTTGAATATTGCAATAGCTTGTGTCCTATGCAGGTCCATGTCGTCGTATATTTTTTAACGGATTTTATTTTTTTGAAAATTGCCAAATTTGTACCATATGGTGAAGGGTATTCAAAGTTCGGCCCGGCCAAACTTACGGCTTTTTTACTTTTTCTTTAATTTAGGAATTCAAATTTCGGGTTTTAAATTAAACTGCATTTTTCTCGAAACTTCATTTTTAGAGATGTGACACTCTTTGAGTAGATGAGGAGAACATATTGCTCTTCTACCAATATTGTGACGAAAATCTCCTTTAAATTATCCCCCTACATTTATTAACTGTGGCAACACCTTTAAGGAGCATACTCTCTTGTCGAACTGCTCTCTACGACATGGCTCGCCTTCTCTGGGTCGAGGGAGAGTGGAGCATAAGCACAGCCAAGTGGTCGCCCAATGTTTGGGGCTGCCTGGCCGCTCGTTCGTTCGTTCGTGTGATGGCAAAGCACAAGTGCAAGGCCTGCTGTGGAATCAGTAGAAGTGTGACAATGATTCAGAAAGTAGCATAGATGTTGTGTGGTTTTGGAATACGCTCGCATTTCCGTACGATAATTCGAAACACCTTTGCCCGAGTGAAAACAAACGAAACGGTATACAGCGCGTACAATTGATATTCTGCGTGTGATAGTCAACATATCATCATCATCATTATTATGGTGATGATGAGGATAATAATAATGAATATAAATACAATAGGTGTGATGATGTATGAATGTTAAGTCGTATGAGAAGATAAAAAGAAGAAAATAATCAAATAGAATTCCGGTGAATGGCAACAAAAGGAAAAGTAATAGAAAATAAAATGAATAATGTGTGCGAAGTGCAGGTGTTGGCAATGTGAAACCCATCAAGTATCCTTGTAAAGAGGATAATACAGTTTCATTACATTATGCAAAATATAGTTAAATTGAATGAGTAACAGCCAAATATTAAAGGCTCTCAAAAATGGTTTCTGTTATTTTTTATTACAAGCAATAACAACAGCAACACAAAACCCTTTGCACTGACCCTAATAGTCAGCAGTGTCCTTTTAGGCGGAAGAATCGCTTCCAGCTCTGTGATTGTCCAAAAATTCATAAATAGAATTTATGGAAAGTTATAATTAAAGAAGTCAAATTTTGAAAATATCCTGCAAATTCCATTACATTTGATATGTGTCATAAAAAGTTTGTTTATCTGTTCTAAATCTCGCAGCTATTCAGTGATTATGAGTTGTCATTAGCATACCAAACAACAACGACAACAACAACAATAGCAAAAGTTAAACCGTTTGATGTCAACAAAAAGTGATTGCGTGAGGCCGAAATGTCTGTCTGTGCGTTAATGGCGGCATTTGGTGTAATTTAATATTCATAAGTGTTTTTGCTCCAACAACAGACAACTATTTAAAACACATTTATTCCGAAAAAAATATATAAATATATATCGAAAATTGTTATTAGTAAATTGTGTAAAAATAATTTGTATGTTCATTTGCCAAGTGTCTAAACATAATTGGAAAACAAATAATAAAATATATATGTATGTAAAATAAATTACTAATAATAATAATGTTATACATATATGTGAAGTAATATTTGCTTGAAAATACATAAAAACGTAATCAAAGGATATACCTATTTCAAGTGAAGAAAATACGAAACAACAATAAGCCATAAGGATAAAGAGGATTATGCTATCATTTGGCGATAAAAAAATAATCAAGGTAAAATCATAAATTAAGAATATATTTATATTTCTTATAACTTCCACCTTGAAAGGGAGGGTATATTAACTTTTTATTCCGTTTGTAATATCCCTAAATACATAAAGTGTATATATTCATTGTCAGGATAAAATTCGATTTAAGTCGAATTAACGATGACCGTCTGTTGAAATCATGATACAGCCCACATTATTTGACGCAGAGCTCTAAAATTTGGCAGAACAATTTGTACTTTGTCTAGGATGGTTGGTATTGAAAATGAGATATGTCGGTCTACGTTTTGGTATAATCGTCGGTATTTTGATGATTTTTAACACATTTTTTTGTCTAACACGTAAAAAAACATTAAGTTCGGCCGGGCCAAACTTTTAATACCCTCCACCTTAGGGTAAAAGAAACATTAGAAGAAATGCCGAATATCGGGAGGTACCGTTATATGGGGGCTATATCAAATCATGGACCCATGCATGCAATGTTTCGCCACCGAAGCTGGAACCAATTATGACCAACAAAAAATGTGGCAAAAATCATCAAATTACCGAATATCGGGAGGTCCCGTTATATGGGGGCTATACCAAAACGTGGACCTATAATTACAATGTTTCGCTACACGAACTAGGACCCATTATGACCCACAAATACCAATTTTTAGACAAATCAGTGAAAAATGTGGCAAAAACCATAAAAATACCGAATATCGGGAGGTACTGTTATATGGGGCTATACCAAAACATTGACCCGTACATGCAATGTTTCGCCACTGGAGCTGGAAACCATTATGACCCACAAATACCAATTTTTAGACAAATCCGTGAAAAAATGTGGCAAAAAAAACTAAAATACCGAATATCGGGAGGTACCGTTATATGGGGACTATACCAGAACGTGGACCGATATATCTCATTTTCAATACCAACCATCCTAGACACAATGGAAATAGCTCTGCTAAATTTTGGCGCTCTACGTCAAATAATGTGGGCTGTATCGTGATTTCAACAGACAGACGGATAGACAGACAGACGGACAGACAGAAAGACAGACAGACAGACATTGTTAAATCGACTTAGAATTTTATGCTGATTATGATGGTTTGGTTTTTAGCTCCGGTGGCGGTATGGTTTTTAGCTCCGGTGGCGGAACATAGTATATATATGTCCACGTTTTGGTATAGCCCCCATATAATGGTACCTTCCGATATTCGTAATGGTTCCTAGCTCCGGTGGTCGAACATAAAATATATATATATATATATATATATATATATATATATATATATATATATATATATATATATATATATATATATATATATATATATATATATATATATATATATATATATATATAGGTACACGTTTTTGTATAGCTCCCATATAAAGGTACCTTCCGATATTCGGTATTTTGATGGTGCCACACTTTTCCTGGGATTTGTATAAAAATGGGTATTTTTAGTTCGTAATGGGTTCTAGCTTCGTGGCGAAACATAGTATATATAGTTCCACGGTATGGCCCCCATATAACGGAACCTCATGAAATTCGGCGGGAGATTTTTTGAAAAGTTTAACAGCATTATTCAAACGGTCTTTCTGATATTTGTAATTTAAAGTTGAACACGTTTGAATTCAAATAATTTTATATGAAAATGTTTTCATTACCCAATGAACCGAACTTAATGTTATTTTTATACCCTCCACCAAAAAAGGTATGGAGGGTATATTAAGTTCGTCATTCCGTTTGTAACTCATAGAAATAATCATTTAAGACCCAACAAAGTATATATATTCTTGATCAGCGTAAAATTCTAAGACGAATTAGCCCTGTCCGTCCGTCTGTCCGTCTGTTGTAATCACGCTACAGTCTAAACGAAGTAAGATAGAAAGCTAAAATTTTGCACAGATCTCTCTTTTGTCTGCAGGCAAGTCAAGTTCGAAGATGGGCTATATCGGTCCACGATATCGTATAGCCCCCATATAACGGTACCCCCGATATCCGGTATTTTGATGATTTTAGCCACATTTTTCAATGGAACTGTCTGAAAATCCACACAGGGAGTTCCTTGTGGGTACTTTATACCTCAGCAGAGAATTATCTATATAGGTCCACGATATCGTATAGCCCCCATATAACGGTACCCCCACGCTATTCGGTATATTGATTATTTTAGCCACATTTTTCAATGGAATTGTTTGAAAATCCACACAAGGAGTTCCTTGTGAGTACTTTATACCTCGGCAGAGAATTATCTATATAGGTCCACGATATCGCATAGCCCCCATATAACGGTACCCCCACGGTATTCGGTATTTTGATGATTTTAGCCACATTTTTCAATGGAATTGTCTGAAATTCCACAACAGGAGTCCCTTGTGAGCATTTTACCCCCTGGGAGAGAATTGTCTATATAGGTCCACGATATCGTATATCCCCCATATAACTAAACCCCCCGATATTCGATATTTTGATAATGTTTGCCACATTTTTCAATGGAATTGTCTTAAAATCCACACAAGTAGTTCCTTGTGAGTACTTTACCCCCTGCAAGAGAATTGTCTATACAGGTCCACGATATCGTATATCCCCCATATAACGGTACCCCCCGATATTCGGTATTTTGATGATTTTACCCACATTTTCAATGGAATTGTCTGAAAATCCACACAAGGAGTTCCTTGTGGGTACTTTATACTTCGGCAGAGAATTATCTATATAGGTCCACGATATCGTATAGCACCCATATAACAGTACCCCCACGGTATTCGGTATTTTGATGATTTTAGTCACATTTTTCAATGAAATTGTCTGAAATTCCACAAAAAGAGTCCCTTGTGGGCATTTTACCCCCTCAAAAAGAATTGTCTATATAGGTCCACGATATCTTATATCCCCCCATATAACTGTACCCACCGATATTCGGTATTTCGATGATGTTAGCCACACTTTTCAATGGAATTGTTTTAAAGTCCACACAAGTAGTTCCTTGTGAGTACTTTATACCTCGGCAGAGATATCGTATAGCCCTCATATAACGGTACCCCCGATATTCGGTATTTTGATGTTTTTAGCCACATTTTCCAATCGTATTGTCTGAAAATCCACATACGGAGTTCTTTGTGAGCATTTTACCCCTGAAACGGAATTGTCTATATAGGTCCACAATATCGTATATCCCCCATATAACGGTACTCCCCTATATTCGGTATTTTGATGATTTTAGCCACTTTTTCCAATGGAATTATCTGAAAATCCACACAAGGAGTTCCTTGTGAGTACTTTACACGCACACATAGATTTGTCTTTATAGGCCCACAATATCGTATATCCCCCATATATCGGCACCTTCCGATATTAGGTATTTTAAAGATTTTACCAGAATTTTTAATGGATTTTATTTTTTTTAAAATTTTCTAATTTGTTCCAAATGGTGGAGGGTATTCAAAGTTCGGCCCGGCCGAACTTACTGCTTTTTTACTTGTTTTTAGTTTTTTACTATAGACATTACATATTGAAATAAATATACCAGTTTTAATACCCTCCACCATACTATGGAGGGTATATTAATTTTGTCATTCCGTTTGTAACTCCTCGAAATATTCATGTCAGACCCAACAAAGTATATATATTCTTGATCAGCGTAAATTCTAAGACGATTTAGCCATGTCCGTCTGTCTGTCTGTGTGTCTGTCTGTCTGTTGTAATCACGCTATCTTTCGAACAAATTGAGATAGAAGGCTAAAATTTTGCACACATGTATTTTTTCCCAGTAGGCAGGTGAAGTTCGTAAATGGGCCATGTAGGTCCAAGTTATCATATAGCCCCCATATAACGGTACCTCCCGATATTCGGAATTTTGATGATTTTAGCGACATTATTCACCGGAATTATTGCAAATTTGGCATTTGAAGTTTATAATGGATGCTACAGCCTAAGACAGAAAATTATCTGTGCAGGTCCACGTCTTCCTGTAGCCCCCATATAACGGTACCCCCCGATATTCGGTTTTTTGATGATTTTACTGATGTTGTTTACCGGAATCGTTTCAAATTTGGTATTTGTAGTTCGTAATGGATACTTCATCCAAAGTCAAAAAATGAGCCATGTAGGTCCACGTCTTCATATAGCCCCCATATAACGGTACCCCCCGATATTCGGTATTTTAATGATTTTAGGGACATTATTTACAGGGATTGTTTCAAATTTCGTATGTGAAGTTCGTAATGGATACTTCAGCCCATGCCAGAAAATTGTCTGTGCAGGTCCTTCGGTCTTCGTATAGCCCCCATATAACGGTACCCCCTATATTCGGTATTTTGACGATTTTAGCTACATTATTAACAGATTTTTCTTCAAGTTTCGCATTTAAATATTGTAATAATTTATGACAAAAGTTGCCTATGCAGGCCCACGTCGTCGTATAAGCATTCGGTATTTTTAAGATTTTAACAGAATTTTTAACGGGTTTTATTTTTTTGGAAATTGCCAAATTTGTACCAAATGGTGGAGGGTATTAAAAGTTCGGCCCGGCCGAACTTACAACTTTTTGATTGTTTTCATTAATACTAATTTGGGTGGGAAAAAAGTTTTCCTCTACTTTTTGCAATATAACCCAGCAAAAATTAGGAGCCACTCACTACATGGTAATTCAAGCAACCTTCACTTTGGATTACCGATTTAGAGTGTCCTCAAGCCATGACATGACTTCACAAAGTATATATATTCTTGATCAGCCTCAAATTCTTAACCCTGTCCGTCCGTCCCTGTCCGTCCGTCTGTTGTAATCACACTAAAAAATCAAAACGAACTAAGATCGGAAGCTAAAATCCTGCACAGATCAATCTTTTGTCAGCAGGCTGGTCAAGTTCCAAGATGAGCTATATCGGTCCATGATATCATATAGCCATCATATAACGGTACCCCCGATATTCTCTACTCTTTGATAATTGTAGACACATTTTTCAATGGAATTGTCTGCAATTATGTAAATTGGAGTTCTTTGTGAGTAC